GGGCCGGGCCGAGCCGGGCGGGGCGGAGCAGGGCCGGGCCGGGCCGGGCCGAGCCGGGCGGGGCGGAGCAGGGCCGGGCCGGGCCGGGCCGAGCCCGGCGGGGCGGAGCAGGGCCGGGCCGGGCCGGGCCGAGCCGGGCGAGGCAGGGCAGAGCCGGGCCGGGCCGGGCCGAGCCGGGCGAGGCGGGGCAGGGCCGGGCCGGGCCGGGCCGAGCCGGGCGGGGCGGAGCAGGGCCGGGCCGAGCCGGGCCGGGCCGGGCGGGGCGGGGCAGGGCCGGGCCGAGCCGGGCGGGGCGCAGCCCGGCCCTGGCGTCTGTTCCCGATGCCAGCCACCTAATGGGACCCGTGCCGCGGCAGATGCAGCGGAGCCCCGGCTGCCCCCCACCCCGCCCCAGGCCGCCTGACCGCTGCCGACCGGCGGGCTGCGGGGCGCTTTGCCGATACCGGCCCCTCTGAAACCGAGCCGCGACCCGCCGGGGGTCCTCCCGGTGTCACCTTCCCTGTCCAGAGCCCCCGGGACCCTGCGGACGGCACGCGCGGAGGCGGGAGGTAGGCACGGGCACACGCACCGGGAACGCTTTATTTCATTGTCAGCAGGACACGGTACCGCGGTGGCTTCTCCAGGGATCAGCACGGTGCAGCGAGCGCTGCGGGGCTGGAGCCTCCCGGGGGCGTTGGGCGGTCCCGGGCCCCGCGCCGGCTCCCGGGAACACTGCCCAGCGGGCGGGGTCCTCCTGCCCCAGAGGCTTCAGTCTCCACTGAACGGGCTTGGGCGCTCCGCGGGACCCGGCGGTCCCCGCGCTGCCCGCGGAGATCCGCCACCGCCCAGTGCGCACTCGCTAAAGAAGTAATAGCCGGTGACCGCGGCCGCGGAGCCAAACCACCACTGCATCCTCAGCTCCCGGGCAGCGGGACGGTCTCAGCGGGGCGGGGGAGCAGGGACAGCAGGGACAAAAGGGACAACGGGCTCCCGGCTCGGGCAGCGGCTCCGCTCCGTGCCCGCTCCGCTCCGCTCCGCTCCGCTCCGCTCCCGTCCGCGCCGCCGGCCCCGCCCCGGCCCCGCCCCCGGCCAGCGGCGCGCTCCCATTGGCGGCGGCGCGGCGCGCCGGTCCCGCCCCCGAGCGCCCATTGGCTGCGGCTGGGCGCCGCCCGCCCCCGCGCCGGCCGCCCCCGCGCCGCCCGCCGGCGCTCCGGACTGCGGGCAGTGGCGTGCGGCCGCCGCAGCGAGCGCCGGCGGCAGCGGGCTCCGCTCGGCTCGGCTCCGCTCGGCTCGGCTCCGCTCGGCTCCGCTACCGCTCCGCTCAGCGCCCCGCTTCTGCTCCCGCACCCGCTCGCCATGCCCGGCCCTTCCGCGGCGCCGCCGGCACGGAGCGCCTGAGCGGACGGCGTTGGCGTGTGCGCGGGGGAGCGCGGCTCCGGTGCCCGCAGCCGGCCGGCCGCCGCCGGGGCAGCCCGGCGGGCGCTGCCCGCATGAGCGCGGCGGGCCCCTGAGGCGCGCGGCCGGCGGCCGTCGGGGCGCGGCGCGGCCATGGGGGCTCTCCCGGCGCTGCTGGCGGCCGCCTTGCTGTGGGCCGGCGCCGGGGCCCTCGTCAACCTCAAGTACTCGGTGGAGGAGGAGCAGCGGGCCGGCACGGTGATCGCCAACGTCGCCAAGGACGCCCGGGACGCCGGTTTCGTGCTGGACCCCCGGCAGCCCGCCGCCTTCCGGGTGGTCTCCAACTCGGCCCCGCACTTGGTGGACATCAGCCCCGGGTCCGGGCTGCTGGTGACCAAGCAGAAGATCGACAGGGACCTGCTATGCCGACAGAGCCCCAAGTGTGTCATCTCGCTTGAGGTGATGTCCAGCTCCATGGAGATCTGCGTGATCAAGCTGGAGATCAAGGACCTGAACGACAATGCACCCAGCTTCCCCACGGACCAGATCGAGCTGGAGATCTCGGAGACGGCCAGCCCCGGCACCCGGGTGCCCCTGGAGAGTGCCTACGACCCGGACTCAGGCAGCTTCGGCGTGCAGAGCTATGAGATCACCCCCAACGACCTCTTTGGGCTGGAGACCAAGACACGGGGTGATGGGTCCCGTTTTGCTGAGCTGGTGGTGGAGAAGAGCCTGGACCGTGAGACCCAGTCCCACTACAGCTACGTGATCACGGCGCTGGATGGCGGCGACCCGCCCAACTTTGGCACAGTGGAGCTGAGCATCCGCGTCATCGACTCCAATGACAACAACCCGCTCTTCGAGGAGCCAGCCTACACCGTCAGCGTGCCTGAAAATGCCCCACCGGGGACGCCGGTCATCCGCCTCAATGCCTCTGACCCCGACGAGGGCACCAACGGCCAGGTCCTCTACTCTTTCCACAGCTATGTCTCTGAGAGGGCCCGGGAGCTCTTCCAAATCGACCCCCAGAGTGGCCTCATCACGGTGAGCGGTGCCATCGACTATGAGGAGGGCCACGTCTACGAGCTGGACGTGCAGGCCAAGGACTTGGGGCCTAACTCCATCCCTGCCCATTGCAAAGTGACCATTAGCGTGCAGGATGCCAACGACAACCCGCCCCTCATCAACCTGCTCTCTGTCAACAGCGAGCTGGTGGAGGTGAGCGAGAACGCCCCGCCGGGGTACGTCATCGCCCTGGTGCGCGTCTCGGACCGCGACTCCGGGGCCAACGGGCGCGTGCAGTGCAAGCTCCTGGGCAACGTGCCTTTCCGACTGCAGGAGTACGAGAGCTTCTCCACCATCCTGGTGGATGGGCGGCTGGACCGGGAGCAGAGGGACCAGTACAACCTCACCATCCAGGCCAGGGATAACGGCATCCCTTCCCTGCAGGCCACCAAATCCTTCACCGTCAAGATCACCGATGAGAACGACAACCATCCCCACTTCTCCAAGCCCTATTACCAAGTCATCGTGCAGGAGAACAACACCCCAGGGGCCTACCTCCTCTCGGTGTCAGCCAGAGATCCTGACCTGGGCCTCAATGGCAGCGTGTCCTACCAGATCGTGCCCTCCCAAGTCAGGGATATGCCTGTTTTCACCTATGTCTCCATCAACCCCAACTCTGGAGATATCTATGCTTTGAGGTCCTTCAATCATGAACAGACCAAGGCCTTTGAGTTCAAGGTCTTGGCAAAAGATGGGGGTAATCCCTCTCTGCAGAGCAATGCCACCGTCAGGGTGATCGTCCTGGACGTCAATGACAACACGCCCGTGATCACGGCCCCGCCGCTGGTCAATGGCACGGCGGAGGTGTACATCCCCAGGAACGCGGGGGTTGGCTACTTGGTGACGGTGGTCAAGGCAGATGACTATGATGAGGGTGAAAATGGCAGACTTTCCTACGAAATGGTGGAAGGAGACAGAGGATTTTTTGAGATCGACCAGGTCAATGGAGAGATAAGGACCACCAGAGCCTTTGGGGAGAATGCCAAAACAGCCTACGAGCTCATCGTGGTGGCTCATGACCATGGGAAAACATCTCTCTCGGCTTCTGCCTTGATTTTGATATACCTGTCTCCAGCCCTGGATGCCCAGGAGTCCATAGGATCTGTTAACCTCTCCTTGATTTTCATTATTGCCCTGGGGTCTATTGCAGCCATTCTTTTTGTCACCATGATCTTTGTGGCAGTCAAGTGCAAAAGGGATAACAAGGAAATCAGGACCTACAACTGCAGGTAAAGATACCTTTGTTTACGTGCACCTGCGGGTCTGCTTTGATTTTTGCCATCGCGGTTACTTTTGCATTTGCTGCCGGATACTTGGGGTGGTGAGGAGGGGTGGATTTGCCTCAGGAACAAACCTGAGGTTCCCTGGAAGAAAATTTCTTGCAAAGCTTTAAGAAATCGTTCCCTGCGAGGAGAGCGGAGTAACGAATCGACTTAATTGTGCGGCTCGGCAATCTGTTGCAGCATCCCCGATCCTCCGTGCTCCTTCGCACCGAGCGGGGAGGGAGGACGGCTTTCCAGGGGCACGGCTGTTGCCCAGGGCAGCCCCCCGTGCCCAGCGCAGCTCCGCGGGCTGGCGAGCGGGGAGAGCCCGGGGCGAGCGGGGAGAGCCCCCCGGCCACCGCAGCATCCCCGCGGCAGCCGGCGCGGTGGCATCGCCGAGCCGAGCCGCGCTGGCCGCTCAAAGGAGCTATTGTGTGCCCGCTGCGGCTCCTCGCCACGGCCCCCGAGCCCGGGGCGAGCGGCGGAGAGCCGGGGCGAGCGGCGGGGAGCCGGGGCGAGCGGCGGAGAGCCGGGGCGAGTGGCGGCGGAGAGCCCCGGGCCGGCTCCGGAGCGGGCGGGGATGGGGCCGGGGGTTTTTGCTGCTCTCTCCCGTTTTGCCCTGGCTGGGCGAGTGAGTGCTCCGAAATGCCGGAGGGGAGGGCAGCCTGGAGCCGCTGAAAGGCTGATCGGGGAAATCCAGTCCCCTGAATATGTAACAGCCTGGCGATTATTGTCTCTCTTTTACTATTCTCTGTGTTACACAAGTTAGGAGACAAATGCTAACCACACATGAATATCAATCAGATGCCATAAAAGAGCAGCTGCAATGCCTCATAAATGGTTTAATCCTGTTACTAGTGAAATAGCCATGACTTCTCCATTCCTTCGGCACCGAGTCGTTTCAGAGAGGAGGGATGGAAATTAATTTTGCTCTACCTTGGAAACGCACGCTCGCCCCCGGCAATTCGGCGGCGCGGGGGGATGTGCGGTCTTTAAAGTTTTATTTACGCAGAAATAATGCCGGAGAGTCGGGGCATTGTACCCCGTTTTCACAGCGTAAAGTGCGTATATAAGCCTTTTTGCTCGATGGGGGAAAAATCATCTGCAAATAAAGGTCGGTCTGTGCTGTATTATGGGATGTCTAGCTCCAAGTGAAAGCTCACAGAGCAGATTTCTTGCCAGCTCGGCCCATTAAAAGGGGATAGGACCTGAATGGATAAAAATCATGTTGTGGTGGTGCCCCTAACAGCTACCCACATACGTATAAACCCTGGGTTTACTGTGACGGCTTAGGGATTAATGAAGTGCGGTTTAATTAAATAATTGGTCAATAGAGAAAGGACAGAAAAATGAATGCCCGCGGGGAAATAATTGGGCTCTCGCATTGCCAAACTTAAACATTTAGGTAAACAAAACAATTAAAGCTTCATCAAGCATTGTTAGACGAGTCAGCAGCATATAGATTGTTGGCACAACAGAAACCCCTGCCTTCCTGTGATTTATTTGCGCGCTCAGGGGGTGCTGGGGCTTTATCAGTGTGTGTCTGAGCAGGAGGCAGCTGCAGAGCTGGGGGAGCACCAGGCAGGCTCAGATTGTGGGGCACCTCTCCCCACGCCTCCAGGCTTTGCAGTGCCTTGTGTCAGAGATTCTTCACAAGAGCTGCTGGAGACTCTTCAAGTGACGTGTTAATTTATGAGGCACATATGAGAGCTGTTCGACTTAGTGGCATTTTCATGCTCAGGCAATTAGCTTCCTGGAACAAGAATATTTGTCCAAGATTTGCCTTTCCAGATAAACGGAATTATCTATTCATCCCGTTGTTTCTGTTGCAGCTATTGGATTTTTTTTTTTTCAATGCTGTTATCGTAACAAGAAGAGGAGCAAAATCCTGACTTTCAAATGTGCATTTCTGACTGTGCATAGCATTTGATGTGCTTCCCTAGGAAATACCAAGTTGCCCAGTGCTGTGCATGTACAAATTCATGGCAGGGACTGTTGTGATGCTCACTGTGGGAAGATGAGCCACAGTCACTGTGAGCCGAGCAGACCCAGCTAATGCAAGGTGCAGATAATTTGTCATTATTTGCTTGGGTGGTGTTTTGCAGTAACTTTTTTCCTCTGGTGTTTTGCAGAAGGCAAACAAGGCACTTCGTCAGTTGATTCTTTTGGCAGGTGGGAAGGAAAGGCAGAGAAAAACAAGCTTGCAGTAAAATAAAAAGGTCAAAAAGGATCATTTTTCTTTACAAAACACACGGTTGTTGTTCTCTGTTTGAGAAGGTGAAAGCATTTCCCAGCAGAAGGGGATATGCATGTCAGTGTGAGGCAGGAATGGAATTTAGTTGGAGAAAAGATCAGGTATGATCAGGAGACAGTCAAAACACCAGCAATTTAGATAAAGCATTAATAAACAAACAGCCTTTGGAGTGTGAGAGAATTGAGCTTGCCAGCTAGGACTGCTTCTGGGTCTGCTTTATTTACTGCTATGGAAAACAAACTGGGGGAAAAAATCTGCTATTCGTTTTGAGTTTTCATTATGGGGACCAAATTAAATCGCTTTTAAAATCCTTATTATGCATGGAAATGAATGCAGGTACCCTTTTCAGTTCATGGATTTTAACATCTCCATTTTTCTCTTCTGTAGGCTGGACTTTACTTCTAGTAACTAAATATCAGCAATTACATACACTAGATCAAAACAGAAGCATTCTTCCTTCCCATTTTTTTTACATGTTTGACCTGAAAACGTTATACGTATGAAAATAAGCTAAAGACGTGTGTGCCACCAGACCCAAACATGACGTAACGTGCATGAGTCAGAAGCCCACATGGAGACGGGGGCCAGGCCCTCTGGGTTCTGCACGGGAACGTAGCGGGGCAGGGTTGGGGATGCTCTCAGCTTCTCATTTTCCCTCTGTCCCCCAGAATCGCCGAGTACTCCTACGGGCATCAGAAGAAATCGAGCAAGAAGAAGAAGATCAGCAAGAACGACATCCGCCTGGTACCGCGGGACGTGGAGGAGACGGATAAAATGAACGTTGTGAGCTGCTCCTCTCTCACCTCCTCCCTCAACTACTTCGACTACCACCAGCAGACGCTGCCGCTGGGCTGCCGCCGCTCCGAGAGCACCTTCCTCAACGTGGAGAGCCAGAACAGCAGGAACGCGGGCTCCAACCACATCTACCACCACACCTTCACGGGGCAGAGCCCCCAGCAGCCCGACCTCATCATCAACGGCATGCCGCTGCCGGAGGTGAGCGCCGGGCAGCGCCGTGCCCGGCTGGCAGCTGCGGGTTCTGCCGAGCTGCTGCGGCGGCTCTGCGGTGCCAGCGCCGCCAGGACGGGGAGCTGGGCACAGGGGGACTGCTGGTTCTTGTGCTGGGCACAGGG